TACTATCCCAACATGTGTCTGCAAGGAATGAAGAAGTAAACGAAGAACCTCATTGAGGTCAACCGATTTCCCAAACGAGAGTAGAACCTGCAATATTCAAAACTACGTAACAAGAAAACTGATCATTTTATCAGGATATTTGATGAGAGATGACTAGGGACTGTGAAAAAGGAAGAAAAAAGTTTTTAGAATATTAGTGATGGGATAAAGGACGCGCGGCGCATGCGCACCGGTAATATTAAAAATAGTCTCCATTTGACACAATCTTGAGTCAGTTCCATTCACCTCCCAAGATCATAAAGTAATTATCTAAATCAGTTCTCTATTACTGATCCATCAACATCTCTGTCCTCTATGTGGAAGATATGCAAGAGATTTCTTGTCAAAATACTGTAACCATGTTATCTTTTCTGCTTCTGGCTTACTTAGCGACGGCAATATATGGCGTCGGATGTATGATGATTTGGAAATAATGTGGAAGGAGTCAGCAAGAGCTTAACCGAGGACCCGGCACAGAGTTTCCCTGGAGGAACAAAAATAAGCCACGAAAACATCAGTGAGGATAGCTGTGTTCCGACCCAGATTCAAACCAAGCAAACTGAGAATGAAAAACTAGAGTACGACTTGTAGCCCAACCTGCTAGGTATACACCATGTCAGATTCTTTATGAAAACCCCGCATTTAACCTGCTGTGAGGTCCTCGTTCCACCTTTTTTTTCCTTGGCACTACAGCCCCAGTGGGCCTAGGCCTACCTCCGTGAACTTCTCCGTTCACTTCGGTTTTTCTAGATTTTATATATACGGTATGACTCCTTGGGAGGGTGATCAGCTCGTCGTAATGCCTCTACCTATACACAAACACAGAAAAACGCACACAAACATCCATGCCCTGAGTGGGATTCGAACCCACGATCCCGGCTTCCGAGCGAGCGAAGACAGTGCATGCCCCTCGTTCCACCTAGTGACAGGAAATGACCTGTGTAAATCACAAACATGTTTCGTTATTTAACAGTCCAGACTGACAACTGAGCCTACAGCATTCTCGTTAGATTCAAATATTTACTAAGTAAGTATTGCCCCTAAAAATGTTGCATATTGAGAAAGACTTCAAAGTTATATTACTAAGGTACGTAGCTACACACACACATATCCAATAGTCATGAAACTGTATCGAGTAATTCTGACACCCGTCCATTATACACAATTCCTATGCTAAAGTTATAATTTGAGACTGTCGCTCTTTAGCCTATATCCAGCTTTGAAAAAATAAAAGGAAGCTTGTGAGACGACCTTCCTGCCCATGTGTCTTTGTCCACCTAACGCCCGGAAGCCTGAAAAGTGAAGCAAGAGGAGACGACCGTTGCTAGGCAGAGGCTCTGTAAACACGTTCCCGCTGCAATGAATACACAATCAGTAGAAGAACTGTTGGAAGCGGTGTTTTCTATGCGGCCCGTGTCATACCAACTACTCAATATGTAGGGAAGGAGACGACGACGGTGTGGAGGCGAGTTTAAATACATCCACCGTATCCCTGCGAGTCGTAGAAGGCATCGTAAAGGGAACCCAGTGCTTGGGGGTATAACCGGGCTACCCTATGAGGGATAAAAATTCGGGGACCTGGCCCTCCGGGTTGGGGAGCCTCGAATCTGAGAAAGTAAAATATTGTCGTGAGTCCTACGGAACACGGACCTGAGAATAACTGCACTGGTGAGGACCAGCAGCAATTGTAAACGAGAGAGGATGTTACATAGGGGCTATGGCAACAAGTATTTACCTGGAGAAAAATAATGGCTGTGGTCTCAAGGGGTTTTTCGCCAACAACATCTGACTGGCGGTGAACCGCCAGTTGTTACGTAACTCTGACTCTGACTCTGACTCTGACTCTGAAAGCAGTTGATTACTTCTTTCCATGTTCTGTTTACGAATATCTCCATATTGTTCTTTATCTGGTTATTGACTGTAATTCTGCCGTTGGCATGCCTTCTTGAGATCCCGTTGCGCTCTGCAATTCATGTGGAAGCATCTACCTTCCATGTGAGATCTGGTAGCTGGCTGCAAGTCCAGTAATATGTCCGGATACAATGGCAGTCCTAGCCATTTAGAAGCTCCGACTTTTCATGGAAAATCTGCACAGTTGCTTTCAGGAACTTTCGCAGATGGAAGGTAGCTACATTCCTGGCAGTTAAATTTACTTCTAGTTTCACTGCAAATGAATCAGCCACAGCAGGCTGTATACTTCAGTTATGATCCGCATTATTTCAACATCGTTTTCTTTCTGAAAGCCTGGCAGACGCCAGAATATACACGTATAAAATAAATGTCGGCATAGGTGCAATGTGTGCATATATCTTTGCACTGTGTTCAGTTTTCTGCAGCAACAAGGAGGGGGCTGCAGTCGTGTTTCCAGTCACGGACCACATCCATCATGGCTTCAATATAACCGGCTTTATGTGAGAGAGAAGCGTGGATGTCTTTAACATCTGCTTGCATCATTGTTATTGTTGCTAGACAAAAGAACACCTTTAGGTTTGTTACATTTTCATGCTGCCAGTCGGTTCACATGTTACGAACTAAATGCAATATGGACAAAGCAATTGATCTTGAGGAAACTCCAACTAATGCCACTCCATAAGATTTAATTTCATGGGAATATTTTGAAAAAGCTGGTTTACAGAAAAAGATTACAGTTAAAAATCTACTATAAGATCGGAAAATGCACTAAAATTTTCTAAGCCAATAAACATCGTCACCGTGGAGCAGAAAATCGACATTTCGAAGACTCTGTCTCCATCAGCTGAGAAGTATACGTATATTGTAACGTGTCGCAGTGACTAAGAAGCGGGTTTGGATTGGTAATTGGATTTATTGACCACTTACAAGCCGTAACTACAAATAATTATAACACGGTTACTGATGTACATAATTCACAATCACTCCACACTAATCCTCTGTCTAACTGCACTAGTCATCACGGATTTGAAACACAGGAACGATAAATGTCTCTCTAAATCACACACTCCTAATATTGCTGTGTTAGAGCAAACGAAGTTTTCAAATCACACGTTAAATCTTCATAGGCTGGCTTCTTTTACTTTTGTATGAGTTTGAAATGTTCACGGTAGTGACTGTAAAGAATGCCGTCTTCTCGTACTCTTCTTCAGCCGAGGAACGGACATGAAACACAGGAAACACATATCACGTGGCCACCACCCATCGCTGCGTGACGTTACCGTGGACACGGGTAACACAGCTTCCTCTACTGTTGTGTGTTGGACCGTGTTCATATAGGTGTTGCCTGGCAACACGTTGTTCAAATCCGTTACATGTACTGCCGCGTGCAGGGAGGTACACGTGTCGAAATGACTGGTTCTAGTTCGGATGATTGGATTCATTAACAGCTTGATTACACGCACTCTCTTAGATACAATCAAATTAGAGTGCTATCGCTGATTTACATACACCCCATAATCCACGGTTGCACGCAACGTCACACACATAAAGTTTTCTAAATCACACTTGACTTCCACGCAGGCAACCTTCTGTATTCCTGGTTCCACTTCGCTTGCTTCCGCCACTTTCAGCTCGTAACTACTCGTAACGCCTCTTAACTGCCTCAACAAGTCAAAGTCAAAGTCACATTGCGACAGACGGTCAGTCAGTCATCAGCCTCATCTGGGGCTCATAACCAGATATTTATTGCTGTTCGAAAGTTACGGTTTTGTTTCTGTGGGGCGCCCTCCTTTTACGAGAGGACGGGTCTGTCTTTTGTATAGGCTGCTGCTCCTTGCCAGCTCAGTCTTTCTCAGGTCCAAGTCCCTTGGTACTTGCGACCATATATTACTATCTCAGATTTGAGATTTCCCTATTCGTCGCCTCCTGTGACTCGCAGGTACAGTATTAATGAGTACTCTTGCCTCAACACTGACGAATACTTCCGTTATGTAGCTTCCGCACTGACCACACATAAAACAGCCTGTATTGTTGGACTTGTTTACTGAGCTATTGCCCAGCAACAGACTCCATAACAAACAGTTACGTGATAGCTACCACTGTTGCGTGACGTCACAGCCAAGCGTGGAGGGGTGTTTACCGAGCGTCGCGCAGCGACGTGCTGGGTGGGGGTATTTGATTTCACAGAGTTGTCGCCTAGCAACGCACCAATACAATCAGCAACTCCCCCTTTGCGCGTGCCCCGAGGCCTCTGTGGCTCAACAGTTCCTGTATAGAGCCAATACGCCAAAGTATATATATATATATACGAAGTGTGTGTGTGTGTGTGTGTGTGAGAGAGAGAGAGAGATTGATTGATTGTGTGGGTGGATGGATGGATGTAGTCCTTATCCATACCTACTCCAATTATGAAGAAAAACAGTCTCTAAATAATTGCTGTTCTGTTAAAAAATTACATGATTATTCGCCCGACAGAATTGTATTTATCTGGTGTTTAATTTCGTATTAGGAAAACTAGGCTTATGGAATAATAAGAATATGTCTCGCTATGACAATAAGTTTGGAACCAACTGATGATTTTCTATGAAAATTTCTACCGGGCCTAAAGCTAATAGTCGCTCAGCTAGTCGGAATATTCACTTTTTTATGGAGTCCGACGCTTAATTTTCAAGTTTTCAAGAGCCCACGTGTAGTTCTTATTCGTAGCGAAATAATTTCGGTCCACTTTGTTACACCCTCAGAAGACATTTTAATATGATATACCCATGGCATGTTCTGTGTAGATTTTCTGACTGAAATTTTACATGAATTTCGGCTCTGTTCAGGGCGTCTTCCTCGTCTATTACAATAAACGTATTGACTTTAAATCTTAACTTGTGCCTGTGTTTGGAAATACATTATTTTTCAGTCCACTTACTGTGAAATACATATTTTCAAAGAAAATGTTATTACAACCAGAGTATTTTTATTCTGCCCTATTTATATATATATTAATTTTAGCACAATATGTATGTTTTGTGCACTGGACACTCACAGCCCTTGTATTGCAGGTGGAGTGTCATGCACGCGACCACTGTGGAGCGCAACTCGTGGCGCCTGCCGCCTGATGACACTGTGCAGGTGGCCGACCAGCGCTCCAAGAGTGCAGAGGTTAGGCTCATTAGTCGTAGTAGTACAAACTGTAATGACATTATCAGGACCGGATTTAAGTTTTCATTCAGATATTTGCCTATTTTAAAACTCTCGACACGTTAGTTGCATTTTTAGTTATTATAAGAAGTAAAAACAAAAATAAAGTGTCATGACCTAAATTTGTTATAACTGAAAGGGGCCCTCACATTTTCAATGCCCCGGAGTTCCACAACTGTAAATCCGGCCTGATATATATGCATGGTTTTATGTGTGTCTAATCTGTGTTAAGTTACTCCCTGGCACTGGGAAAGTGCGATAATGAACCCTATGGTGAATACACTGAATCCATTTGTGCCGAACATACTTTCGTGTGAGTAACTTGAATCATAACAGTTTCCAGCCACCTCACTGTAGGCCATACATATGTCGTGCTATGAAGAGGTTTTCCACCTTTGAACACGGGTCTATGCCCATGTTTCCTTCGACCATTTTTCACTTCAGATCTATCGTAACCTTCTCAATTCACTCGCCTCATAACTAACGGAGATTAAATGAAATAATTCGGTAGATAAAAATGATCGCCTACGAACTAAATTACCACAGTTCCATTCCCAACAGTGATTTATACAGTACTTGTTCGTCACCAGTTAAAACTTCATCCGAAGATTATAGAGACTCAGGTACAGTGGAAAATGGAAAATATATTCGCAGTGACAGAGCAGAAATATCCTCATTATATTGCACATTGTAGATAAAATAAATCAATGTACACACTAGGCATCAAAGAACTACATGAAACACACACACGCCGCCGAAGATTATGCTAATAGAACCCACAAGAAGATCGAAACCGTTTTTAATAAATTTAATGAGATTCTTACTTATTCACAGAGCTGAGCCCTTCTTGAGAAACTGTTAATTGTGCAGCTACTCAAGTATTTCCCAGCATTTTATGGAACCCGAAGGTTCATTACAATCTTCACAAGAGCCCTCCACTGATCCCTATCCTCAGTCAGATCAATCCAATCCATACAATCTTATCTTTCTAAGATCCATTTTAATATTGTTCACCCTCATACGCCTTGGTCTTCCCAGTGGTCCTTTTCCCTCTGGCTTTCCCACCATTATCCTATATGCATTTCACATCTCCCCAATTCGTGCTACATGTCCTGCCCATCTCAACCTCCTTGACTTGATCATTCTAATTGTACTTGGAGAAGAGTACAAGTTATGAAGCTCTCATTATGCAGTTTTCTCCAACCTCCTGTCACTTCATCTCTCTTTGGTCAAAATATTCTCCTCAACACCCTGTTCTCAAACACTCTCAGTCTATGTTCCACACTTAATGTCAGAGACCAAATTTCATACACATACAGAACCACAGACAATATTATAATTTGTATAATCTAATTTTTATGTTTTTGGGTAGCAGACGAGAAGACAGAAGGTTCTGGACTGAATGTTAGTAAGCATAACCCGAGTTCAATCTCCTCTTAATTTGATTTGTTTAATAGGGTAACTTATTTTAATATGAATTTTAATCGCAATTTTAGTTTAATTTTAAAATTGAGACAAGCAGTGCAGTGAACAGTTTAGCATAACGAGGACACCTGATTATGTTCGTATAAGGCTGAAATATATTGTGAATGAAGATTAAAGTGAATACAACAATCTTGTGTTGCATTGTAGCGGATATATATATATATATATTGATGACATCCTTAAATTACCCATTACATATTTATACTTCATAGGATTAGAATATGTGAGTGTATCTGCTGATTTTCAGATAATTTAGCGACACTCTTGTCATGCAGGCATTACACAGCGTCAAATCTGAAGTGTCTGTTCAAGTGTCTGGTCTGATCCCGTCATTCCGCTGGCGAGACTGTACGAAGTCGAAAGAAACCCTTCGAAAAATAACTACCAGCCAGGGCGACATTCGAAGTTGGTACCCCTGCATTAAATTCTAGTTTGGCATCTTCTCGCAAATCTCACCTATACTCTTCCTGAGTATGAGTGTCATGTTGGAAACGGTTTGGGGGAGCTCACGAGGACACTTTAAAGAAACAACACACTCCACCGCTCGAATGTGAAAGTTCATCTCTTCAGTTCTTGCAGAAGTTCGTCTGCAAAACAAAAGACAACATCCAATTGTCGATGGTTGTGTTGCACGATACAGTCCACAATTTTCGCACTGTCGGGGATCGAACACCGTGCCGTTCACAATCTGTCTCTTTGCTACAGCAAGTAGTCCATTTCTCAGCTAAATATTCATATGGAAACACAGGAAGAAGCGAAGGAAAGGAAGGAAGGCGGTGAAAGTGAATGTGAAACTTGGTTTATCGCACTGAGAGGGGAAGACAGACTGGGCATGTCTGAGGACAGGAAACTGGGGAGAACATTTCAGTTTAAGAGACAGGAAGAAACAGGAAGAATGACAAAAGAGCAAAATGAGAATTTTGAAAATAAATACGCTTCACATAATATTATTAGGAAAACTAAACCAAGAAGAATGAGATGGACGGAGAATACAGAACACGTGGGAAAGATGAGAAATTTACATGCCATTTCTTTCGGGAAAATTAAACTGAAGAAACGAATTGGAAGACCCGGGGGTAGAGAGTATGGGAGTATACAAATAAAACGAAATTTAAAGAAACAGTGGGGGAGTGTGTGGAGTCGAATCATCTGGCTCATGATACGGACCCGTGTCGGGTCCTTGGAAACACGGTTTCATGAGGGGCGCGGAATATCCTGGCCAGAATAGCGGATATTTTCTTCTTCAGTAGAACTTTCATTCATGTGGCCTGTTCGCACTTATAAAATAAATTCTGCCAGAAGTTGTGGGGAGAACTCCAGTCCAGTAAATTTCTGCTGACCGTCGACAGCACAGTCTTTCTTGGTACTGGACCTCATAACCATGTTTTCGTTCTTTCCAGATGTTTTGAAATGGGACTTCCTCTTCTTTGACGAGAGGAGGGGTCTGACTACCCTCTCTACTTGGGAGTGACTCTGCTGGCTGTCAGTCACTCATTCAATCGCTCACTCCTGACTCTATGGGAAGAACTAATCGACTGTTTCCATTTGATTACATATTGAGTGCTTAATACTATACGGACCGCATAGAAAACATCCCGTCCAACAGTCCTATTCTTACATGTGTTGGTTGTCGCGGAAACGTGTTTACCAAGCCGTTGCTTAACAGCGTTAGTGAGGACGCACAGACACATAGACAGGAAGGCTATCTCACAAGTCCCCTTCTATTTTTAAAGTAAGGAAAATAGGCTGGGATAACGTAGTCGGAATGGCGACTGCCTACGGGCCGGACGACCAAGAGGACGGAGTTCGAGTCCCGGTGAGGGCAAGAATTTTCACTTCTCCATGTCGTGCCGACCGGCTTTGGGGTCCACCCAAATTCCTGTCCTATGGCGACCGGGGGCTCTTTCCCCATGGGTAAAACGGCTGGGGCTTGAAACTGACAACACACCTCCAACTAGTGCTGAGGTCAAGAAAACATGGATCTATACATCCACTCCCCCATACGCCTTCATGCCGTAGTGCTTATTTAGTTAAGCACAGGGACACCTGTACCTTTAAGGAAAGTAGGCTAATAAAACCAATGCGCCTTGTTTTGGCTCCGTGATAATATATTTACTCGTATTGCCACACTTACGTCTGAAGTATCCGGGTCTGGTCAAGTGGGATTTGTGGTGGACAAAGTGAGGCTGGGGCAGGTTTTCTCTGAGTACTTCGGTTTCCCCTAGAAATCTTCATTCCACTAAATTCTCCATCATCATAATCAGCCGGGGCAGGTACAATAGGCGAAACAGTGGCAGGAGTGCCGAGTGGACCCAGCTGAACTCCACCCCCCCCCNAATAAAAAGAGACTGTCTGAAGCACCTGTGACTGAACTCAACAGACCAATCCCTAAGTTCCATGAAGATTTTTTGACGCCCTCTTGAACATAAATATGATTTTGATATTTTCGAAAAATAAGTGAAACAGAAAACAGACCACGATAAATTACTTCAATTGGCACAAGAGCTCTGATGTACATTCGAGTTTATAGGAGGTCCCTATACGAGTATGGATCGAGATTTTGTGATCGAGAAAAGAAGCTCTGTTTGATGTTGCGGTATTACTCGTAATAGGAACGAGACAGGGTTCATTTATGGGACTCAGAAATTCAAAGAAGCAGTTGTATGCTATAAAATAGCTGCTAGGATATCCTGATAAAAACATTAAAATTGATCGGCCAGATTTCCCAAAAAAGAAAAAATGTGAATTTATAGCCAATACATTTAAACCATAAGTGTTCCATTATGTACTCAGGCGGAAGCTTTCGCTGCAGAAAAATGGTGGAAGTTTTTTATTGCAAGCTGGAAGTGCTGATCAGATCAAAACTATAACTATAACTATAGAAATGTGTAGACTTACTCCATCTGATTACTTATATTTTTCAAATACTCTTCTTACTGTTTTTCATATCTCATAGCATTTAGTTCAGATACAAGTGATATTCTGCAAAGTAAATCGCAACACAGGTACACTGTATCAAGTTAGAAATTATTGCTTTCCCAATTTCTCAAGAAAGACCCTGAAAAATAACTTATATTTGGATAGAAAGAAGAAGTAGCTGTGCTCCTATAGGGTAACCGAGACGAGAAGCCTGAAGGGGAAGCAATATGGCATGACACCTGAAAATAGGAATTATGCAGTCAGAGAAGCGCCACAGGGTCGTCCATTGATAGGCAACAGCTCGGTGGACACGTCCCTCCCTCTCGTAGTCACATAAGAAGTACCACCAGAAGGCTCCCACACCGGTAGACGTATTAGTCTGAAGGCTTTCAGAGCTGACAGAGCGTAACATACGGTCATGAGTCCTATGGAACTCGGAATCAAGCATCACTCTGCTGACGAGGACCAAAAGTAATTTATCAGTTAGTCACTCAATCAATTTCCGGACCACATTAGTCCAAACTAGGACCGTGTTGTTCTTATTTGTACTTAACGGA